AAAATATCAATACCTCAAAAGTTTCAAGAAGCAAAGTGCTTGCCAAGTTAAAAGTAAACAGACCTCAGTTATGCTCTAGTAATCAAGAATAAGCTAGATACTCTTACTTCTTTCAGTACTACATGCACAGGCGTATTTGCAGAAAAGCTAAACATTTGATTAGATCACCAGCAGCATGTAAAATACTGCCAAGGAAGTGATTTTTATCACTTTGCATTATCTATTTCCCTGACATCTCTTGAAGACAAAAAAGCTTTATGATGACTGTGATACTAAATCTACTGATAGAACAGCTAGTCAAACTTGGATGAAAGTCACACTCTTCAGGGCCACTCTCAAGGCTTTTTCACTACTAAAGCCAACAACAATGGGAAGGAGAATTTGGTGTCAATCCTCTAAGTATGTTAAATTCACAACTTATAATCATAACAGTGTTTACATACACTATGAAGCTTACTAAAGCTAGACTCAGGTCTTAGTTTGCTACCTTTAAGTCAGTGTTTATTCAATAGCCAAGAAAGCTAAACTACCCGCCTTGATCGTGCAAGAACCCCAATGCCAGTACTTTGCCACTACTTTGTTAGTTTTCTGATACTGCTATCTTACTGAGTTCTGTGCTTAGGGAAAAATTTAAATGGTGCCATTCATCAATAAATGGAGCACTACATCCCAAAATCTTATCTCTAGTTGCACATCTGACATACAGCAAAGTTGCTTACTGTAGTTTAAAGGCCAGTGTGTAGATAACCTTAGTCAAAGAACTGCAAGTTAATCACACAGTTGGGCAACAGACATCATCCATAAATTCTTCTGATATAATGGCACTAGCATGCTAATTTATGTGAAGTGATGTCCATTTGCTTATCATGGATTGGGAACTGTTTCACATAAAACAAAATTCTAATGCATCATATGGAGTTATAGCCTATGCTAATTGCTTTTGGCATATTTCCCTTTGTAACCATTTTGCCAGCTCTTAGAGATGCTAAATGCAGCTTTAAGAATGCTTCAAGACAAGGTATTTTCCCTTAAAAATAAATACACTAACTTCACTGAGAAGTAATGGAATTTATTTTAATGCATGCACTTATATATGCAACTACCCAACTAATCCATATTCAGATAGAATACAGTATGCATTGGTATTTATGTAAGCACAAATGGGTGGTACAGATGAAGATTTATTACTAAAATCTGAATAGCAAAATTTTGTAAAATAAATATTTATGAATATGTTTCCTACTTGGTTGGTTTAGAACTTCCTAAATATTGTAGGAGAAACAGAATTCAGGACTAATGAACCCTTTTCACTGTTACACTGAAGCTAAATTGTACAAATGTCAAGAAAAATCTGAGTGTGTCCTTATGTAGACAGAGTTCAGGGTTCAAATTTGTTCTTTTGCCATCTGTCAAGGGATTCTTCAAATCACTTCTCAACTTAACTACTTGGGACTCTACTGGGGACACCAATAGCCATCACACCTATTGGTTCTGCAGCAGTGGGAAGTAATGGGAAAGCTGGAGGAAAACCCACCCACTCTTCAACCAGTCTGAGAGCTTAAAGCCGACAGTTATCTTCAGTTCATACAAAAACAGTGCCTTAAGTTAGGATAAACAGTCTGTTAAGTGAGTGCAACCTCACACATAATATGACTATTATTATTTAATTATATTTTAGGTCAATTTCTGTTAAATCAATTTCTGTTAAACTTAATTACATCCCTCCATGGCTTTAAACTGGGGCAGCTTCTATTAAGTTTACTTTCTCCTGGGATTTTCACTGTAAAGACAAATGATAAAGGTCTGGCTACTAAATGAGGGCAGCTATTAAATAAGGACGGCTTGTATTAGAGCTGAAAGGTAAAGATGTGGCTACTGGTTGAGAAAACCCCTTACTAAGGGAAGTGCCTTCTACTTTAAAAAAGAAGAGGGCAAAGGAGGAGAGAAAGGAAACAAACTTTGTTCAATAACTCTTATAAGATACTCCTGCAAGAAACTACCAGAATGTCCAAAGTTTCATGGCAACTTCCTCTGAAGTTTCTCTTCGAAACAAGTGAATGGTAATTTGATACAGGCTCCTCCTTAATGAAAGAGGAGAAAATTAAGTACAACCCCTGGTTCTGGAGACCAAGAGGTAAAAGCATATCTCAGAAGGACTTGCAATGTGATTTCAGGTAGTTGTTGATAAATAAAAATTCTGTCAGTATTATTCTAGGAGATAAGACTGAGAACAATATATTTTAGTTCAGTTTAGAATTGCATCATAATTGCAGGAAGAATACAGTTTAAACAAACTTTTGAAATTGTAAACTTCTAGTGTGTATTTTGTTGGGTTGTTGGGGTTTTTTGGGGGGGGATGTGGTTATACCACTCTGGAGTTCTTAAAAGCAGTCTCTGTTTTACTGTGGTCCTATTGTTATTTGTGGAGAAACTTGGTTCTTTACTAGTAGTGACGCTGTGCTAATGCATATGTTCTGATTAATACAGCCACAAGACAAATAAGATAAAATAAATTACTTTCTGTGTCATGTTGTGTTGGTTTGTGGTGTTCTAGAGATGTGAAACACTCAAATCCAGCCTAATCTGAGTTTCCAGGTGTATTAGTGGCTCTCTCCACCAACATGTAAATTTCCATAACACTGATGCTGGAATGAAACCCAGCCATTTCATAAACACACTCCTTCAATTTCAGACAATTCCTGGTGTTTTTTACAATGAACAATTACAATAATTTTATATACACAAAATGTTTATGAACAATGAGGTTATACTCTTTCACATGTTATGTGATGGCTGATGAAAATATGCAGAGAATCTCTCCACCACCTTGTTCAGCATTCCTCATAAGAAACACAGTGGGCCACCCTGGCAGCAACTTAGCCCAATGACAGGAAAAATCTGTTTGGCTGAGGGCCTACACCTGATCTTCACTAAACATCTGTTAGATTTCATAAGAAGAATGTTGAAGATAATATACATATTAGTTTTCAAATGTCCCCTAGTAAAGAGATTACTGCAGTGATTCTTGATTGCACTTAAGAACTGGTGAATTTTTAAAACTGAATCGATACAATCCATTCGACCAAATTCACTCAAAAATTAATTTTTAACTTTTCTTTTAATCTGAAAGATGGAATTTTTAACCTGAAGTACATATATTTCTGTGAACTCTGGAAAACAGAACTCAAATTAGCAGAATATCTGTATATCAGTTGCCAGGTAAGAGCTCACACATACCAACTTTGATACATTTTGGTGTACCTGCAGTCACAGTGCTCACTTTACTTGTTAAAGAAAAACAGCACCAAAGTATTTCTTGATTGAAATACCTTCCCAATACATAGGCTTTGTGGCTTTTAAAGACCTGGAACAAATACTAGGGGAATTTGATGAACATGTCCAAGTACTGAGAGACAAATATTTTTGTAAGCCTCCGAAGTTAGATGTACCCAGCAGAGATCTGTTGTGGGTGTGGAGAAATAAAATACAAAGCCCATCAATCTGTGTTCAGTACAGCAGGAATACCACTTGCTATCTTGTTTTGTTCACACACATCAAAGGTCAATCTAACTGGCATGTTATGAGCTTTGTTCCAGGTTCAGGCATGGAATGGAGAGGAGTGATATAACCAGTAAGAACAGAGAAGCAGGTGGTATCTCTGCAGTTCATCCAGTTATATTCCTTTTAGACCAGAAAAGTTGTGGCTTCATTTACATTCCAAGATTTGGGTAATCTTCCTAAGATTCTACCTTTTGAAGAAGAGAGTGTGTTTCAAGGATTTCAGAACAAGAAAGTACAGTTGAAGAAATGACAGATTTTTTAAGTCTGTTTTTGCTGAGTTATAATCTAACTTTCTGCACAGAATACATTTAAATAAATAGTAATGAGAGATTAGAGATAGACAGTTATCAGTGTGCTTCACTACATGTAACAATGTAATGCACAAGTTATAATATTACGACAAAGAGGATGTAGCATCAGCTATAATTGAGGAAAAATAATTTAAATTAATAAGTAGCATCCCAAAAAGTTGGATAATTCTTTTTTTCTCAGATATCTCGCATATGCTGTTTTCTGTAACAGTCTTCTGGCTGAATTGTTTTTGCCATGTAATCTAGATGAGACTTTCAGAAATACTTTTTCATTAGACTCCCTTATATTTCTACACTTCAGAAAGCAAAGATTTGTCTCAGGCTTTCTGAATAGCAAAAACTGGATGGATTTTGCCCAACATGCCTTCACTTACAATGAGAAAGTAATGATCATGGTCACTTGGTATTTTGCCTCTTTTTTTCTGCTGTTATCTGAAGAAAGTCATGGATGAGGACATCAAATGTGCTAGAGGGAAATAATTGCCTCTATTTTAGAGAGCTTTCAACTTAAGTACAGGGAAAGACAAGGGATGGATAGGAGAAATAGGGTAGGAACATATAGCAACAACAGTTCTAGCCAGAAATCTAATAGGCGAATTAATCTCTTCTGTACCTATGAAAAAAGTCTGCTTCACTATGTCCACATCAGTTATCTTTCACAATTAATATTCATAGTATGGCCCGTGCATGTAACTTAGATCCAAATCTGCACTTTCATTCATTGTCAATAATCAATTTTCAAAACAAATTATGAACAGGACATTTTTTATTGTATATACTGAGAAAAAAAAAATTAGTTCAACAAACTGTATTTAGACCGTAATAATCTATGAGTTCTGAGGAGAGATGAAGAGCTGTATTTGGTTTTATTAAGCTTTATTAAGTTTATAAACTCACAGTGCATCTACCTAACCCAAAGAAGTTATTCTGGATTCATAACAGTGTAAATGAGAATGGAATGTGGCAAAACATGCACAGGCTCAGGATAAAGAGAATGATGACTGATACATATATATTTGATAACGGAGGGGATCCTACACTCAAAGAGATATTAATTAGTGCCATAAACCTTTTACAAATAAAAGAAGAGGAAATGAATGCTTTACCACATGGAATTTTTATCTTTACCTGACAATCTCGTTATTCACAGAAATGGCTTCCAGGTATTTCTTCAGTGCATAATAATTATGGATATATTTCCGAACATAATAGCCTCGCCATCTTTTCTGAATCTAGAGGAAATAAATATTTGCTTACTGTATTTCAAATGAAAATTTTGTATGAATATCAAATATCATTGTATTTCCCAAATAATATTGTTTCCTTAAAAGTAATATCAAGTAGAAGCACCAATATATTTCAAAGAGGAAAATGAGGGCAGGACGTAACATATTGTAGTTAAATGGTGATATGAATTTACTATTTAATGCCAACACTAAAAAAAATAACATCAAGTTTTAAAACACTGTTTATCTTGGGGTGTGGCAATGAAAAGAAGTGTCTCCTGCTGTCAGTTGCATTGCTCTATGTAAGAATGGTAAAAAACAGACAACAGAAGTGTTGTCCTTTCTCAGGTACAACATGCATTCCCTACTGAATTACCCCCTCACCACTATCTTCTGCTACCTTGGTGCTCTGGATATAAACTAAACTGAATAGAAGCCTTCCCAGTAACTCAATGAATCAGGCTTTCTGGAAACATCATTTACACATTGCAGTTCTTTCATCACCAGTGTAAGATGATGCATGTCTATTTGTTGCACATTAATTACAATCTTCTCACAAAATACTATTCCTCCTACATAACAGGTAAAGCTTAAACTGGAGAAGGAAACCTATTTATCTGTAGCTAGTCCTAAAGTTGTATTAAGAATAGAAATTAGGTAGCATCGCCCACCAGAAAGGATTCATATTCTGCAGCATTTTAAAAGGCATCAGGTTTACTGGCTATCTGTTTTGTGGGAAGGGAAAGTAGGTATTAATTAGTTAAAAAATTATCAGCACTGCCATATGGTTCACCATATTTATCCCTATGCTATGACATGTACAGGCAGAAGATGTAACTTGCTCTATTCAGTCATGCTGAGGGCTGCTCTCACTCCTCATTTTCTTTCCCGTAAGAGGTCAGTGTATTTTAGATCAATACATCTGAAAAATAGATTAATGATCTTTTCCTCTGTTCTCAGTGTCTAGTTCCTCTTTCCTTACATTATTCCACCCTTGAACTTATTTATCTTTGTGCAAAAGATTCTTTACTTCCTTCCTTGCATTTTGCCTCCTTTTTTGTCAGTTTCTAAATTAATCTCCCAATTTCTACCTTCTAGTCTGCATTACCTTCAGTCCTGCTCCAACTTCTACCTCGTTGACCTTTACAGCTTTGAAATCTTAAGAGACATAACAGCTGAAAGGCAGAATCTACATTAAAAAAGCAAGAAAATTGAGGTCTATGATTCAGAAGCAACTCCAAGGTGAGAAGCTACTCACCTTCACTAAGTGCATTGAAGAGGAGAATGCTGTAATTTGCCAAGAGTTCTCCTTTTCCTGTGGGTCTCTGGCTACTAGACTTTTCAAGAACTTAAACTCTTTAGTGCATCTACAGGGAAAGTTTTCCTTTTTTTTCCTTTACACCAACCCTTCTCCTTACAAAATCAAGGTATGACTTGGTTAAGTGGAGTGGAATCCACGTGTTTGTTTGTTAGGTTTTTTTCTTACCCTATGTCTTACTCCAAAGAAGCATGTAAAAAAAGGAAGAAAAGGAAAAAAATCTGCCCACTGTCCACACTATCAATCAACCTTTGTACTCAGTGACTTCAGAGTCGGTATCATCAAGTCTTGGGAGTGCTCATCAGTAATAGGAAAAATTTTCTCTACTTCTTCCAGTTCCATTGCAGTCCAATTCTATACCACTGTGATAACGGACAAAATTTATTGCAATTTTCCATCTTCTGCTGTTTCCTGAACTGAAAACAGTAACACACTGGAGCCATCTATAAGAAGACTAACTAAGGCAGGTTGCATATTTTCAGACTTTGTCTTTGGTACTGTTTTGCAATCATGAAAGCCAAAACATTATTCTTTACAGTTAAAACTAGCCTCCAGTCTGAACTGATGGCACCTTCTGGTACAGTTGTAATTACCTCTTTATGTGAGATTTAACAGGAGAATAAGTATCACAGGAAAGCTTTCAGTAAGTCTTTGAGAGAAGTGTCACCACGAAATAAAATGATGCACTAAAGCTATTAGGAATAAGAGGACATTCACTTTTAGTGTTACTACACTCTTCTACTTTGTGCATCACCATGAATTTTCCTCTCTTCTCAAGTAAGATTCAGAACTAATTTTAAAACTCGGTATTTTCTTTTACCTATGTGGTGTTGTTTATTCGGGGCTTTTTGAATAAAAAGGGTTTGGACCTCTAGATACTATTATAATATGAATAAATAATAGTTATGTGAGCAGCTGAACATGGGAACAAGAAAGGTTAAGCGCCAGACATGCTTCTATGCACTAGATGATAGTAAATTCCACACTCTTTGCACTCCACTTTCTCATACAAAAGCTTATTGGGTTAAAAAGGAGTAGAGAAAGAGCAAAGAATGAGTATGCCTTCAGAGATCTGGGATTAAGCAAAATCCTTTGCATGTGAATAAGGATCTTAGCTTTGTTTTTCTGTTTGGCTTCAAAAATTCTCAACAAGAGCAACTTGGCTCCAATATAGATGTGTGCTCATTAATGCAGGATTATGGTCCCTTTGAAACTCTTTCTGATAGTCTTCACCTCATGGTTATAAATGCAGAACTGGATATTTGTGGGTTAAAGGATCAAAACTCAAACTGAAAGACAAAAGACTCAAATAGTATAAAGCTATAATTATCTCCAATGGGCTCAGTGTACCAATTAAGTGCTGCATTCTACCTTTATTTACATCGCTTTCTGTTCAGAATGACCTCGCTGATTTCAACTGAATGAAACATAAGTAAGAAAACCAGCACTATGTCTCAAATTATTTTATGCTAGATTTCTGTTTCCCTAATACTATAGGTCAGACATCACAAAACTGAAGACTAATCTTTTTGGAAAAGAACATTTTACACAAAGCTTCTGATGACGTTCATATTTTCAATGTGAAAGTTATAAGTGTCTGCTTTTATAAGGAAGTAAAACGTGTTACGACTATATTTCTTTTTAATTCCAAGGTGAATGTTTAAAAAATTCTTGAAAAAAAAGAGACAAGTGTGTATGCCCTTCAAAGTAATTAGCAAGTTTCAACAGTGATTGGTACAAAACAATTATTGTCATTGATCAGCACTGAACAGATAATTTTAAACAAAGTCATTGTGTGCTCAGCAGATTACAGCTTGTTAACGGGCAAGTTCTAAATGACCTCTTAAGCTAGTCAAATCAATGATGCATATTCCTCATTAAGTAACATCAAAATGTAAGTGGTCTTATAAATAATGTTTATTTTAAGCACTAAAACAAATGGCAAAACCTTGATATATCAAAAGCCATCTGCTCATGGAAATATTTTTTTCCATAGAATTACTTTTGTTGCTGAAAATTTATAGCAACCTTAAATCTTCTAAGAGAGAGAATCATATTCTGACCTAGTATTCAAAACTGAAATTTAAAACAAGTTCTCTGGTTTAACTTAAAAAGGTGAAACTGATAGTTCTGGTTAAAACTAAATGCAATCCAGGGAGACAGAGATGTAGGCTGACTTCGAAACTATGAGCATGTGTATGCCCTCAATGATACCTCAGATGCCAATATCAAAAATGCCTTTCTAATCAGTGTCTATAAACTGAAATAAGTATTTTAATAATACTATGAGGCAAAACTAAGTGGTTAAATAGAAAAACATACACAGTTATTGTTATATTTTCAGAACACTGAAGTATATTAATCATGAATCAAGCTCACAATGTGTGAATACGAGGCACGGCTGGCTTAGGAAACCTAAAGTCTGGCTACACATCCTGTGTGCAGAAACCCAACAGGCCTTATTCTCTATTGTCCTGGACCTTGGTTAGTTCTTCAAAAAACAGTCAACAGCAAAAAAAAACCCATTCCGTGTTTCAGAAAGGTAGCATTTGAAATCTGCTCTGCAGATATGGCTGCACGAGACAGAGGAGAATCAGATTCTGACATTTGCAACTAAATAAAGATCTGTTCTATTGTTTTCTACTGATTCAGATTTCCATTAAAGAAAAGGACATGACTGAAAAAATGGTACTTTGAAGATTTATATCACCTAATGATTCAACATTATATTTCCATTACAAATGAATGGGAACACATTCAATTTCTTTTAAAAATGAAAGACCAAATGTGAAACTCCATTTGACTAGAATACATAATTACCTCTGAAATTTGGTCTTCAAATGCCTTCTAAAAGTACACAGCCAACTTTTAAGAGCAGGCTTGCATCTTGTGTTTTCTCGCTGATTTCAGCTGTATGAGTATATAGCATTTATCCACTGTGGAATACTTTCAAACTAGCTAACTAAGGAATAAAGTAAAACAAAACAAAAAAAAAAAAAGTGCATTTCTGAGGAATTAGATTGCTATTAAACACCCTCAGCTCTCCAACATGCACCAAATGTAAGATTCTACTTTGTGCCTTCCAGAGAACCAGCACCAAGCCAAAAACCTGATGAGAACTCATCTCTTGAGTTTGAGTTATTCTGGAGCCAGAAAGGCCACAAAATTAAAATCCATTTGGGGAATGTTCCTACTTTACAGGACTTTCCTTGGGTTACTCTCCCTCCCCACCACGTTCCTACAGTTGGTAGAATTCAAAAGGTAAGATGCCTTGCCTAAAAATATATAGTCCCCTAAAGTAAAGCAGGTTTATTCCACAAAATAAAGGAATTAAGTAAGATAAAAAGATTTCATCCTGAGAATTATCTCATGCCCTTCCTGTGTTTGTTTTACATGTTTATTTAAGTGCAGCTCCGAAGTTCAGGAAATAAATGCTAATTTCCAGTTAAATATGTTTTGCAGTTTTGCCCACAACAAACTTCATTTGCTGTATATTTATTAAAGTGCAAGGACTGTTTATATTCTTCATCATCTGGCAAAACTCACTCAAAAGATCATCAATGAGATCAGTGCAGTTCCACCTCTACGTTTAGTCAATTAAATTGTCCTGTGCTCTCTGAGTAACTCTTGAGATTTGATATATCGAATGTCATGTACTAACAAAAGAAAAAGCACAGCCACATCAATGAACATAAGAGTCCTACAGTTTATCAGAATGGTAAATATATGTCTACATTTGTAAGAATACTCACAGACAGAATGTTTGAGGGTTTTATCAGTATCGTAATCTGGCAAGGTAAAATGAACATTTAAATGGGGCAAGACACATGCAGATGCCTTAAATTCAGCTACAGTTTTCAAATACCACCCCGACTACTGAGTGTAACTTTAATTTTTAACTATGTACTATTTCCCACTGTTGCCATCAGCATATCAATCAAGTGTATATTATTCTGGTTTGCTCATTTTATCAAAAGCAAATTCGGAGCACAATTGACTTTTCATTTGTTTAACAAGTGAAGAAATATTTACCCTGACAGCCATTTCATTGTAGAAATTCATCTTCATAATAAAATATGCTGTCTGTGAATCAAGGAAAAAAAAGATGGCATATATTTCAGTTACACAAAGACAGTGCTCCTATTTTTACATATAAAAGATAAGAATCTTTATACATAATACATAATAAGAGTTCTAGGCTTAGAAAGAATAAAATCAAACTTTGTATTGAAAAGATAGGCTTCCTAATACATAATGCAGCCTTAACCAGAAAAATCTATGGTAGTCAAACTAGGAGCTAATGGAGATATATGATCATAAAATGCTCTCCGCTGAGTTTGATAATCAATGGTGCTCTACTGAGAGTAGAATAACAAAGCAGAAATATTCACAAGTGCTGGTGACACGTAGTATTGTATGATTTATTCACTGGGGTTCTTTTAGCCAAAACTCACAGAAACATAAAAGGAATTCATATTTCAAGACGTCTGGTTTAATGAAAAATTCAAAGAAATGCTGTCTTCAGTCGAAATCGTTCAAGGATACGGATGCAGTGATGGAGCAAAATTGTGCCTTCCAACCATCTGTACTAAATGTTATGTACTTAGCTGCCTCCCGAGTAATCCTTGGGAATTTTGTTTCATTTAATATTCATTTTAACATCATAAAATCATAAATACAATGATACCATGTTACAGTGAATCCCCTGATATAGAAAACATATCCCGAAGTCCTGGTTTCCTTCCAATAAAGTAGAATTCCTCTCATAGTGAACGAATCCCCTATTATACTAAGCAATCACTTGGCAGCATAGGTTATTTTAATGGATACATCACTTTAAACTAAGCTTTCACATCTGTTCCGCCCTCTAATTACAAATGCAAAATGAACATAATTCACAATTGTATCATAAAAAGTAAAATATAAGTACTTTGAATGCAAGAGTATGTCCTTTATTTAGCACAACATGCAGCTTTTATGTGTTTCTCATGTTTTAGACACAAATCAAAGGCAAAAGTGCTTTCCCCTGATATAGTGATTTTCTCCCCCATGGCAAACAGGAATTCACTATAAAAGGGTTTCACTGTAATTAGTGTTATTTGAATTGCCTAGTCTGATCCAAAGCAAATTGTCTGTGGAGAGCAGCAGGACTGGATTATTTATCAACAGTCTGGGCAATTAAGAAACAGTTGGCTGCAATATGTTATTTACAAATGAACACAATGATGCTACTTCATTTTAAATTCTCTTTCTTCATTACATTAAGCAAGGCATAATTCCTGCAGTTTAATTAAGGTGCATTTTAAATGCTCACTTTAATATCATACCAATATACTAATAATGGAAACAGTAGAAAAGATATTTCTTATAGGAAAGAAAAATGCAGGACTGCTAAATTTCAAAAAAGTTTCACGTATATGTGTAGATGTATATACACTTACTTGGATACATATATATATTTGAGGGAATCTCTGTCCCAAAAGTATGAATTACAATAAATAGTGGACTCTACCTCCTGTTTTGTCTCCATAAATGTTTTCTGAGTGATATTAACTGTAGATAGCTAATACCGGAATGAAATAATGCCAGGTCTAAGCATATGCCTAAACCATTTCATTAAATTGATACAGTTTTGTTTTGCAGCTCATCTTTTCTTTCTTTGGAAGGGAATGTAAAAGTTGCTGCACCACCAAATAAATTACATTTCTAATGGAAATTCCTAAGCTTAAAAATGATCATCCAATTTCTGCCCATCAATGATTAAACAATCTCACACTTTTTTGCTTATTCTCATATTTGAAGGCTGTGGGTACTTATGTCTGAATCCATCCTATTTCACTGAAGAACCTCAGCTGGAGACCTAACATTGTTATGCTCTTTATAGCCTCAATACTGAAAGACAGTGGGACCACTTTCCCTCTGAGCTTGGCAAAGCATTGAAGAGCTCTGCAATTGCATCTCTGTCTATTATTTGTAGAGACAGTCAATAGCAACTAGGGCCCTAACTTGCATACCTCACTGAGGTGTGACAGATCCAGGCCTTACCCTACCACTACTTAACAAGGTCACACACAAATAAAAGGAAATTACATATTCCTGCTTTTACTCAATATTTTTCTAAATCACAAGTCAGACAAATGCAGAATTGTTCATATAACTGTCTTACAACCTTATCCTTGCACCAAAAGCCAAAACCTGCATCACCATCTAGGTTCTTTTGCAAATGGATTTGCCCCCTGTTTTCTAATCCTGATTAGAATAATATGTACTAGTTCTGCTATTACAAGTGATGGAGAATGTGTTCATCCGTATTCACAAAGCCATAATTTAGTGCTTCAACCCAAGTGTATATTTATGTGCTTTCCTAGTAAACAAAAGATTCCTTCCTGAACTGGGGCCTTCTTGTCCAGAAGACTCCTTTCTTATGCTTAAGTGGAACATCCTGCATTTCAGCTTGTGCCCATTGCATTGCCTCTCACGCTTTCACTGGGTGCCAATTCCAAGGTGACACTACAAGGTTGGCTCTCTGGGAAGAATTATCTTGCCATGTCACGGACATGCACCACCCCCACTTCTGAACCATGAAGTCTTTGTATATGTCTCTGATGTTAATACACTGGTCTCCCTGCTAGTTTAGTTTAAAGTCTATGATTCCAAAATATATTTGAAGCCTTTTGTGCATAAACTGATGTATTACTTTCTCCTTTTCTGTTTAAAAACATGTTTGGGGATCACCTACAAATGTGATCTGATCCTGACTGCTGTTTCCTTTCTCTTTGAACAGTTAATACAAAGTGAAAAATTCAAAGGAGAACCAGAAATTTCATTGACAGTATATTGAGAGAAGGAACCATCACATGGTCTAAATTGGGAACAGGCACTTTTTTTTATAGAGCAAATAGGCATTTGCCTAATTCCTATTAGGCTGGGACTATTTGACTGGTTACTGAGTTGATGCTAAAGTGTTTAGGGTGGTGTCAAACTATGTCACATAAAATAGTCACTTCTTTAACTGCATCTCTTTCCAAAGTGAGCTGAAAATATGGCCATTATGCATGCTGACTTCATATAACAATGAAGTGTTACACTTCTGTTTGCCTTAACAAGTGATTTCTTGACTTTGAGAAATATTGTAAAAAGAAACATTGACATACAGTTTGAGTCATGTTCTGGTATTTGCCTGGTTTTAAAATCCATACTGTCCTGCAGGTCATGCAAGACTTTCATAACCAGTATGACCAATGTAACTAAGCTATTAAGAAAACTATAGGAGCGCAGTTCTTAATTTTAGCTTGAGATTAACATTAGGAAACAAAGCTTTATACCAAAGCACCTATATTTAAAATATAGAAAGGCACATAACTTTAGTCATGTAAACACCATCAACAGCTTTTTTTTAACAATGTATCAAAGGAAGTGGCACTAGAGGAGTAACAAATGAAATACTGGTAGTTGTGCACATATGGACAGCCAATCTGATGAGCCTCAGCCTTTGTTATTTTCCGCATCAGTACCACTCACATTTCACAATTTTGAATATAATCATTAAAATGATTTATTGTCAAGTAATCATGGGTATTTTGTGCATATGCTTTGCCTTGTTTGCTGGCAGCAGATACCAATCCAATCATTATCAGCGGACAAATTTTAAAGTGACCAATTTTTTTTGTATTTGAGGAACTCTCATGTAAAATGTATCATTGTGTTTCATAATCAGGAGTCGTTACAACAATTATTAACAAGAGTTTAATGCTAACATTAACTGATCCTTTAAATTAAAAGCTGTGCTAAGCTGCTGAGATTTTTGTTTCTTTTTAAAATATTCCAAATTCAGCCATTAATCGAGTAAAAATAGTATAACAAAGAATATAGGGAATGAACTTGAACTTTATATTTAAGTCTGCCCCAAAACATACAAAACTGAATATAGCAGCCTAAAGGGAGAAAAAGGTGCCTTTTTATCTGCTACTTGCATGGCTTTCAGGTTGGCTTCCAATCAGGCTATCCTATTTAGTCCTCTCCAATCAAAGAGACAGCAAGTGCAAACTGAGGCATTTGAGGGAAAAAGATGGTTTTCTATGCTGATTGCTGCACAATTTGTAAGCTTGCTGATGAGATTCTGTTTCTCTAGAGCCCTGGCTAATATTGGATAAGTACTGGTATCCTGAATTCATGGTCTGATTTAGAATGTGTGTGTTAAATGTGGGCTTGCACAATTTTTTGTCCTACATTATTCCAATTCCACAGGCTTCAGACTTGGCAAGGGCTTGTCAGTTATGTCTGCTTGAAGAACAACATATGAACCAGGCTTTATTAGTGAATGTCTTTTTTTTTTTTATGTTTTTATTTTCAGAAATAGATTTCAAGAATGGAAAGCTGAGGGGGTTTTATGATGCTAGCTATCTTGGCTTGGTTATTAGAGAAAATCTGTGCTAATTTTAAAGACTCTTTATCTTAAAATGTAACTGCCAGAGTATTTTTTAAGAAGAGAAGGCAAAAGAAGACAGAAGTAATAAAGAGATGAGGTAAAAACCCTCAAATTTCATAGATGCATGGAACAGTTGAAGTTGGTAAGGGCCTCTGGAGCTCCAAAACATGGCTCAAAGTAGGGCCAATTACAGCAAGTTGTGCAGGGCCTCATTCAGTTGGGTTTTGAGTACCTCCAAGGATGGAGACTGCCCAAGCACAGCTTGCACTCTCTGAGCAACCCATTCCAGTATTTGATTACACTCACAGTAAAAAAAAGTTCTACCTTTGAGTCGAATTTCCTGTATTTCAGTTTGTGCCCACTGCCAAAGTAATGCTTACACTATTTTCTGCAAAATTGATATCAGACATCAATTACAGATTTTTTAGTAATGAAGTATATATAATAAGGACATAGTAAAGATTTATTTACAGTTAAGCTAGGTGTAATTTTATAAAAGCAAAAAAGGAGTCTAAAAATTTGGCATATCTGTCAACAACAACAAAGAACAAGGTACCACTCAGAACAGTGCACTGGACAGTAGGCACAGTGACGATGTCTTCATTTTGTGTCTTATTTGGGCACTGCTATTTTTACAACCTTTATATATAAAAATAAGTCTCTGAAATGTCATCATTCTGTTTAAAATAGGATTACGGATTACTATCAACAAAGAAATTAGCATTTTAACATTGGGTGGCCAAAAGATTACTCCTTACAATTTGGGGGGATTTAAAAATGTGTAAAATGGCCACCATAAGATCTTTGTCTTGCTTAAGCCCTCTTAAAGACCTAATGATCAGATGACAAAAACTGACCTGGTTCTTATTCTCATCTTGAAAAACACAGAAACACATAAATCACTTTGTTTCAGAAGTGAAATTCAATACTTGGCAATGTTTTAACTGTGAAAAAATTTAGAACTTGAGTGGATGTCATGAGATTACTTCATCTAAAACATTGCCTGAAGTATATCTAAGCCATCCATGATAAGCATTTGTCTAACCTGCTCTTAAAAAACTGCAGTAGAGGGAGTTCCACAACATCTTTTGGCAGTATGCGTCAATGTTTCACATGAAGTTGCTTTTTTCCTCCCTTTTTCCTGGTGGCTGCATGGGTCCTTTCTTCTCATTAACAAATTTTAACATACTTTAACATTACCATGTTTCTCTTCTTCTACAGAAGCTTTTCCAGATTAAACAAACGTTCCCTAAACTCAGGAACAATATTCAACTGAAGTCCCACTTTTTTTAAAGCAGAACCCAATCCAACCATGCAGCTATCTGCCCTGTATTCAAAAACTAGTATTTTAGAAGGTAGGCTAAAAACCATATCCTGAAAGGATAACTCATAATTTATTAGCTAAGCCAGGTAACTTGGAAGAGATAAAATCTTTTACTAGCTTACTGATAGACTTGGGGGAAAAATAGACAAGCTTTCAGGGCCACAGGTCCTGCTCTTGAAAACATAGTTTAGAAGGAGATATGGACTTTAGCCTGTAATATATGAGTTACTATGGTTCACTTTTTTTTGCTTTTTCTTGACTTGTCTGTTTTGACTAAAATACAATTTAACAAAATTAATCAAGAATATATGACGAACAAGTTTAAAACTATTGTAAAATATCAACATAAATTGACAAATTAGTGAAGTAAACTACATATTACAAACTTGATTGCTTTATGTTAAAGGCAAATTATTTTTTTCTTAATCTCCTAAACCTGTTAACAGAGGTTTTAGCTTGTGTTCTATCATACACTTTTGCTATCTTCAAGTCCGTCAAGGGAATTAGATTGACTGTGATCTGCTATGTGCCTTAAGGCAAAACCTCAAATACTTCAAGGTTCATTAACTAAGAAATTTAAACCACTAAAACATAGAACAGCAATGTGTAGACACATTGGCTTTTTTTATTTTCAGAATTAAAAGTTCTGCCAGGAAAAAAAGCATCTTGAAAAGCTCCAATCTTGCAATTAGCATCACGTGGGCAGGCTTCTGCATGAGCAGATCTCATTGCTGGTTTGGGGACTAATACTCCAGAGCTGAAAACGCTTAAACACTGACTTAACTTGACCATTATGAGTAGGCTTACTGAAATAAATGGTGCTTTTCACAATAGTAAAGTATGTGTCTGTGTGTATAAAGGATCGAGTTTCAGCTTTTTAATTTTGAGATGAGTGAATTAATTCCTTCATATGCATTCTATAAATAACCAAACAAAATTTTAAAAATTACTTTTCTACCTCCACCATTTTTCTGAAGTATCTTCTGGTTTGATAACCCCTCCACCACTTCTGTATAAAAATCACCATTTTGTTCAGATACCTAAAATGAAATATATTAACAAACTAATGATTATTTTGAGACTTTACAATATAACTTCATTTTTTCCTAATATTAAAAATAACATATAGTGTATTATCCTTACTTATTCCAAATAGATAGGGACTACAAACGTACCTTATACACATATATGTATGCATATATACATATGCACACACATACACATTGTAAACCAATATATACATCTATTTATACATACACACATACTTTGCTTTTGGAAACAATGGGTTACTGCAAGCTTACCTATATACTATTTCAGTTATCATTACAAAAGTGTAATGAAATAGCTTTACAAACTTAATTTGTATGATAGATGATTGTATTTTCATGAATTATTTTAACCAAAATATCTGACCATTTCAGAATTTTTTCAGTCACATGCAACGTTTTCACAGCTTTGCAAGTTTTAAGTATTTGACAAAACCCACAGATATGTCAAATTTTTAGACTCCATTTTTGCTTTTATAAAATTACACCTAGCTTAACTGTAAATAAATCTTTACTATGTCCTTATTATATATACTTCAATACTCTACTAAAAAATCTGTAATTGATGTCTGATATCAATTTTGCAGAAAATAGTGTAAGCATTACTTTGGGACTGCCTAGAAAAAGCTATACAGGGGAGCATTCATACGACCTGACTAGGGACATCAAATTTAGAAGCCTTGCAGTACAGCTAGAGTCATTTGGTAGAGGCAGTCTTTTCCAGGAGGTAATTCAAAAGACCTAATTGAGAGGGTAATTCAGAACACTAACAACTGGCCACATTGAGCCTGTGTTCCTAAGACAGACACCACATCCAGCTTTGGAAAGAGGACACTGAGCAGGATCACTCTGTACACAGTTGCAGAGAAAATCCTCTTCTGTGCTGAGCTGATTTAGTTCTTCTTACATGCTCATTACAATTACATTGTTCTTCTTACATTGGTCATTACTAAATATAAATGTGCGTTTAGAAGAGCA